TAAATGATAAACGTGCATGGTGGGGGTTACATGAGGAGATCTTTAAAGTAGATAAGACAAAGACAGGCACCTGGCAGCTCAGTTTTGATCAATGATATGCGATTCTGACAGGTAAAAATGATATTGTTGCCAATTATCCAATTGTTACTGTAATTAAAATGCCTAATTAAAAGTATAATTAAATAAGCCATGCTTTTAAATTAGTCTTAATGAGAGAGCTGGTTTCTGGCTAATTTTCTTATTTTCATCTGGTGTATGGTGCAGACAAACGCACCAAGGTCTTTCTGCAGGCTCTTTTAAGCCCTATAAATATTCCAAGTGTATTGATTATATTGATTGACATGTTCTTTCTCATTAGCGGAAGGAATCCCACAGGCATTTGTCAGGCCATTTATTGTGTGTTCTGTGAAATGAAATGAAATGAAATATCCTTAAGACAATACCCCATGTAATTGCATTGCATGGTAGGATTAAGTGTACATTACTGGTATTCCACAAAACAGATGTCTCTCCAACATTTCAAGTGACATGACAGCTATGAGACATTCACCCTCAGTCCAACAGTGCCCTGCCCTGCAGGCGCCTCAAAATGATGCGATAAAGCCGACTCACACCTTGTCTATGGTATGCCCCAGTTTGGCCGCCTACAACATAATCCAGAATCACAACAGCACTGAGACATGCTTACTGGCGAGACGACTTTAGCCCTGACACACTTCCATTTAAAACATCAATCATCTGATACTGCAATCTGCCTCTCATATGCCGCTAGTAATGGTGTGAACGAAAGGATGCACATACAAATCCACAATTACACATTAAAAACTTGTTTAATCATCAAGAAGGTGTTTTTATAATGAAATAATGTTAAATAATGACATGTGCTGGCAGACTGTATGTCACAAGAATATATTAAAGGTGTGACAACAGATTCTTATTTACCAATTATAAGGTAATATAAAAATGCCAGTGAGTAGTTTTTTGATAAACCCACCAGAGTCCCCAAATCAGTGCAAAACACTGAAATTAAACTAATTAATTTATTATTTCTGATAATTTCCCAAAATTAAGGAATTCAGTGTATACTGTATAATAAACATCCCTGCGTGGATAAAAACAACAGTTTGCAATAAGCTATTCAGTTTGCAATTCAGTAACTACCATGTCGTATTTCACTATTACGGCTTTGTTTGACAATAAATATAGGCTACCATCCACACCTAGCTAATTTAATGAAAAAGGATAGAAATATCGTATATAGAGGATGTCCTCTATAACTGTTCCGAGTTAGGCATTGTCAGGTTTTATTGGATTTTCTGAAGGCTAAAACACAGAGCTGGATCTTGGGTGGGGTCCTTCTGCATTATGCTGGAGATATGAGCCGGCAGGTGCAGTGTCACCATAAGAAAATCCGTTTATGTCTTTAAAAACATGTTACAGTATATTTTAAAAGAAGTGTGCTCTATATCAACACAATTTAATGCTTTTTGTAATTTATAAAGTACCCTCTTTTTCTATGTAAAGGTGAGTAGGCAGCCTGGGTGCACCCAAAACGCACAGCCATATTTGAAAATAAAACAGCATGGGGGTGTTAAGAGAAAGCACATTTATTTATCTAAGAAATAACCCAGACAGTAATTGAAAACGTTTATTTTTTTAGCTAAAGGACTTTTGTTTCTCCTGCATCAGAATCTTTTGTGCGCGCGACAGCATCTCTCAGCATCCTGCATCAAAGAGACATGAACCGGCGAACAAAATGAAGGAAGGTTTGTCTTACCGATAGCAGTTTTGGCCATGGCTGGGGTTGTTGCGGTGACTGGTGCGTCTCAGCTCTGTTTCGGTGGCGAGGAACTGGTTCGCTTCGATAAGGCACTGAGTCAGCAGAATGGCACTCTGAGGGAAAGAGTGCGCGAGAGCAGCTTCGGGAATTATGAGCGTGCGTGTGTTCAATCAGATTGGCTGCTGTTGTCCCTTCACGCGCAGCTCTAAGTGAAAGGCTGTCGCGCGCTCGCTCTAATGTACCGGAGGATGTCAACGGTGAGGAGCTTACAAGGTGACTAATTGAGTCTCCCCCCTTTCTCAGAAATGGTGCAGACCGTTCATGCACAGCGCTCATTGATTTATTCATTTTAGCCTACTATGAAAGACGGTGGTAACAGGAAACGTTGGTAACTTGCATTTATGGCATTTCATACAGTAAACTAGCACCACTGATAATCTCGGATGGATTGTAATGGCTGTCTTCTGCCATCACTGATTGATGGAAGCTCTGTCTTATAACGGTCACATGTAGGCCTATACATGATTAGATATGCTACGCACTTGTATTTTAGAATACATTTTACATTCATATAATGGCCGTAGGACCGGCAAAGCAGCACTGGGACACAAGTGCCCCTCCCAGCACTATCAAGGCTCCCTTAGATTAAATGGGTGATGTGATGTTCCTCGATAATAGTTTGTCAATTTAGTTATTGCAAAAATATTTAATTTCCCTCTTTAAATTATTACAGTGACTCTGGAACATCAAAATATGTTTAGAAATATTTAATCAATGTATTTTGCAAATCTATTTAGCAGATTGAATACATTAATGAATGAATGAATGAATGAATGAATGAATGTATGTATTACTTTCAGGTTGCAGACAGGCCTATGAAATGACAGCATAAACAAATGACAATAGCACGAAATGTATTGACAGTATTATAAACATCAGTAAGCTTTGGTGTAATACAAATATAAGTGCATTGAAGAAATACAAAATATGCTCATGTAGTCATTCAGCCATGATGTATCACTACATCAACATGCACATCCAGTTCAGCTCCCATTAGAAATGCACATGGCTTGCAAGCATCAATTATGAAGGAAGCGAAGTCTGCACAATAAATAATAAAAGTTCTGCTGTCTGAACAAATCGGTTTAGAAATTGGACAGCATAAAGTGAAGGACTACAATGGTTGCATCAGGCTATAGAGGAGACCCCTATATCTCACAGTGTGGTCATAGATTAAATAATCCCTTGATCAAATTGGCATTTCAGAGCAATCCTGCAGTCTCTTGATTGAAATAACAATATACTTATATCTACATGTTTTCATTGTTATTTTTCATTGCTTCTAAACTGAAGCCTAAATTCTTTATGGATCCGATAGCCAGGCTAGGCTACTACTATCTATCAGACATGTCAGCTCAGGGTCACGCCTAAACATTCACGATCAAGATGCAATGCATTATCATTTTCAACCACTAGGTGGCAATAGATCCTTAATTAAAGAAAAATTATAGCCAAACATTTCAACTTGAGAAATCTCTTAAGACAAAACAAATCTGTATGTTAAGAGGGAAAATTGATTTATCAGTGCAGTACTAATCTTAAAGCTGCTGCTGGCTATGTTGAATTACCTAAACATTAAAAGCACATAGGCAATGAACCGTTTATCTGGAGTCATTCATTAATCAAAATAATGTATGTCCTTGATGAATTTAAAATGAGTTTTAGTTATGCTTGAATGACACTTCTGTTTAAAGACTGCATAGTTTTCAGATATGGTCAGTAGGAAAATTGATTTTAAGAGCAGTGAGAGGATTGTTGTAAATGTGAGAGTTTAATTAAAATTCATGGTTATGCATTAACTAGAGAACTGAGTCAAACTGGGGATCTATTATGTTTCAGCAATGGTCAAGAATGTACTGTACTCATAAAACCAATAAGCAGTGAAAGAGGCGACAGCTCTGAGAAAATAAATCCTACACAAATCTCTTTTAAAACCAGTTGCCTTCAGGAAAAATGTCACACTATATTGCACATGGCTGTGCTTTATTACTGCTAAAGCTGAATAATAATTTATATAGCCTGATTATTAATTCATTTATGACAGCTAAATTACAACATTTGCAACTATCAAAGCTATTTCAACTTAGAGATTGTGTAGTGAGATAAGATCTCATACTTTTATTGTTCAAATAACACACCCGAAAAACACAGTAAAATGTGCAATAACCCTTGCTTTATCTAACACAAACACTCCTCCTGAGACAAAGATAAAGTTTTTTAAATTTAGTATTTTTTCATATAAAAGAGCCTAAATAAAAAATATATATTTTATTAGTTATGCTATGTGGACATCTCAGTTGTTTAAAAAAGAAAATGGCATGAAAAGACATGTATAGGCAAAACCAATGTTATCAAACTATATGCTATGAAAGATATAACGGAACGAATTTATATACCATTTTACTTTATGCATTAATATGTGGGTAAAATGGCCATAAATTGGTAATCCCATTCAACACAATGTATAGACTGTATCTAATATGAATATTAATGTGTTCTTTCAACAAATAATGAAAAAAAGTGTAATAATGAGAGTAATTGGCAACTTTTTCATAATAACATCTAATAGGCTATTTCATAGGAATATTGATATATAATTTCTTTCCTTCACTTGTTTTGTCTCCCAAAATGCCTGATAAACATTAAGTCCTGCTGTCCTCACAGGACATGTATGAAATCAATGCCCTGTTTTGTATCAGAAAGCCTTATTTGGATAAGAAACCCCATAACATTTTCCTGAGATGTTGACAAACGATTAGAAAATTAGTCAGATTTAAATGATAATTTTAAAATATTATTATATTTCCACAAGAGTAGCCTTCTAAATTTGACCATTAAGCTAATCTCAGTCATCGTTAAAGACCAAGGAGAAGTTTTTTTTTTGTATGATGAAACCTCCAAACATTTATCTCTGAAAAACCCTGAATGTGTTCTTTACAGGACATCCAGACTGAGTGTGACATGTAAGATGTCAGAGAAATTTGCTACAATATAATGTACTGCGGAGGATAAAAGTCTATTCCAGGGTCCCCCAGGAGGATAAAGCAGTCAACAGTGCAGGGAAGGAGGAGACGGAGAAGAAGGGCCTAATGTTTTAGTGTAAAGTAGTAGGCTGTTACCAAAAGACTACCGATGTCATGAGTCTCCTCCTCATCCTCCTCCTCCTCCTCTCTCACAGCTCCACCACGACACGTCCGCTCAGACATCCACGCACATGGTCCACGCTTTCTTCAGTGAGAACAGGTGAGGTCTGATGAGTAGCTCAGTTAAACTTTATATTTCACACTCCAACTCCATCCGCACCAGCTGTTAGTAGTGTACTAGTGTTAGCCAAGATGTGGATGGGAGTCAGAGGTGTTTTCTTTGTCGTTTATCCTATGCGGGGAAAACGTATTATTACCTCAGCGGTCAAGTAACATTGAAATGATGGAGTTTGACGGCAAATCGTGAGATTGGTAATCAAAAAGTTTTAAGACTAAACCTGAACAACGGTTTGTTGACTTCCTCTAACGTGTCCTGGAAAGGAACAATGTAAGTTAGATGAAGGATTGATAAAGAGACGTGTTTGACCAACCATATAGGTTGAAGCGTTCATAAAACGATAGAAGATAAAGATTGTTGTGTAATGCTGTCCGTTTTTTATGCTGTTATAAAGTGAAGGAAGCCGTTTTTGTTGGCGCGAGTCGACCATTTAAACCCAGGCACGTCAGAATGTTGCAGCGCGCTGATTCCGCGGAAGCTTAAATAAATGAGGTAGGAAATTGTTTTGTTTTTACAACCAACCGGATGTATTTAAGCGCAAGTAGCCTATGTAAGATCATGTTGACATCACTTTCTTGTTCTTAATCACTTTTTGATTAAGTTTCATAGTCTAGAAAAGGAGGTGTACATGCTTCAAAGCTGTTGTAATACTCCTGTATACATTCCGAACAGCTGTGGCATGCACATTTTGTTCCTTTTTGTCATTTAGTATGCTGCATAATAAATCAAGTGGTGCTCGCTCATTGCAGAGCCAAATGACATCCAGTTCCTCCTGTCATGGGTTGAGTTTGTCCTAGTCCAGCTCCACCTCTGTGGATCTAATGGTTGAAAGGGATAGTTTTGGGTTGGGTAAGAGTGTGGTTAGATCTTCTAGCTTCACCCATTATGCCCAAAATACATCCAGAGAGGGGGAGCTGGACTACACTCTCCACCCATGGCTCTGCAGTGAGCAGCCCGTCTAGTAAATGGTCATTTAAAGGGATAGTTCACCCAAAAGTGAAAATTGTCATAAGTTACTCACCCTCATGTCGTTCAAAAACCCATAAAACATGTTCATCTTCGGAACACAAATTTATTAAATTTATTTGATGAAATTGAGAACTTTCTGTCCCTCCACTTTGACGCTTTAAAAAGTCCACAAAGAGATCATAAAACTAATCCATATGAATTGAATTGAGCGGTTTAGTGCACATTTTATGAAGAGACATGATCGATTTATATGATGAACATTGAATTTAGGATTTCATTCACATAAACATTCTTCAAACTCACACATCAGTTATGATAAACAGAAGCTTAAGCATGTTCGCTTGATGTGTGAGAAACAATGAGGTTTTTTCTTACGTGAAGGAGGTTCTGTTGAGCTTCTGTTTATATCTGCTGATCAATGTTTCAATGTGAATAAAATTCTAAATTAAATCGGATTAATATCTGACTTTTACAAGTTGAATTCTTTCGTATTTGATGCATAACGTACTTTTCAAATGATTATATTGCCATGTAGTTTTAGTGTAAAATGAAAGACATTATCTCTAGTTGATTTATCTCTTAAAAACAGTTAGCTCTGCACGTTGTTGTCGATGGCCGCACCCACCCAAGCATTGCCTGGTTTTCTCTCTCACTTTTCTTTCTCGCTTTTCTCTCTGGTTCCCTACTGATACCACTGCGGTCGGTCCATGACGTCTTGGGCAGCAGGTGTGGGCGAAACTACTGCGGCTCAATTAAAGCACTTGTTCTCCAAGAGGGTGTGTTAAAATTGGTGTTGTTGACATTGAGCTAGTATTTTTTTTTTTAAGTGTTGAATGAGTCGAAAATGTTTTGTGTTGTCAACAAGTGTACCACAGTAGTTGTATTTGGCTATTAACTGAGTTTGATCTCATTTACCACCTTCTAGATTTGATGCAGAAAGAAAAGTGCGATGAGACTCGGCTGATACTCCAGGCTTGAGGTGATCAGACCCTTGTGTGGTCCAACATCACATTCCTTATTTTTGTAGTACCCTTGCCTCTTGAGTTTAGTCTTCCCTTCTGAATTGAGTTCATCATGGGGGATTCCAGCTCCACCAGCTCCATGCGTCTGAAGCAAGAGATCTCGTTACTGCATGGCGTTTGCCTCATCGTGGGGAACATGATTGGCTCGGGCATCTTCATTTCCCCTGTTGGTGTTCTTGAGAAAACAGGATCTTACGGTCTATCACTGGTGATTTGGGTTATTGGAGGAATCTTCTCTGTTTTTGGTGCCCTGTGCTACGCCGAGCTGGGCACCACCATTCGCAAGTCAGGAGCCAGTTATGCCTACATCCTGGAGACCTTTGGGGGCTTCCTGGCCTTCATCCGTCTGTGGACCTCGCTGATGATCGTGGAACCGGCCTGCCAGGCGGTCATTGCTCTTACTTTTGCTAATTACTTAGTGAAACCATTCTTCCCCACCTGCTCGGCTCCAAATGATGCAGTACGGCTCATTGCAGCTCTCATTATAGGTAAGTGCTCCTCTGCTCATGCATGCACGGAGAGATTGCTTTGATAAAGACAAATGTAACAGCACTTTAAACAGTGTACATAGTGGCACAATAAAGGCTTTCCCTGAAATTCACTAATGTTTACTGTTCACACAGCTCAGTGTGTGTGAGATTACTCTGAAAAGAGTGCTTCCTGTCAACATGTCAAAAATAAAGTTTTGTAGCAGAGCGTAGTAATGATCTGCATACTTTTATATAGGTAATTCTTTTAGTTTGTATGCTTGCCTTACAGTTCCTTTATTTATTTCCATGCAAAATATAGAATACATATATTGGAATATACTGACTTCATAATATACACAACATCTCTGAATCTGTGTTGATATTCTTAATTAAAACTAAAACTGAAATAATGGATAATGCCATGTCGACTAACTGAAATAAAATGTTTAAGTACTAAAACTAAAATGCAAATAAAAGTAAATTAAAGCTGATTTGAAATATATTTTTTTATAAACAAAATCGAATATAAATGACAAAAGCTCATAACAAAGTTACTAAAATTAAAAGGAAAACTGAAAATATAAAAAGAAAAGCTAGTTTAAAATATTAATAAATACTAGTAGTATGCTAGGAGAGTTTGTTCTTTCAACCCCTTTAATATTTTATGGTAATTAATATTAATTAAAAAATTAATATTATTTTTTCTTTCTTTTTGTCCTTTTGATTTTTTCCTTCTTACTAAAACATTGCACGAAAAAATGTGAATTGAAAAAAGAAATTGCAACGAAAACAATGTGAATGTCACTTCCAGTGAGTAACTCAGGGATCCTCTTTTTTCCTTTATCAGAAAATGCAAATTTACTTTTGTGGACTGTTGAATTGTGTGATTTTAGTATTAACTAGTTCAAATTACAACAGGTGAGTCTCCATTGCATCAACATGAGGGTGAATAAATGATGTCATTATTTTCATTTGGCTAAAGTATATGCTCATTCTTTTTTGCATAAACTTGTACTTTGTCTCTCCATTTTGTCTAAATGGATTGAGTAATGTCTCTGCAAATCTTGAAGCATGTTTTCTGTTAGTTCAGCTGTTAATTCCACTGCGGCTGCCAGGCTGCTCTCTCCATTCGTGTCAGTGTTGGTTGGCATCTTATTCATGCCACACAAATACTTTCCCTTTGGTCCGGAGTCCGTAACCCTGCCAAGATTTCCATGAAACCTTTAAGAATTCATTGGTGATCCCAGATTGAGACCATGTGCAGTGTGTTTGAGTTCAAGTGAATTCTTGGGTATTTGTCACCTGTGGCATGTTTTGCTACTTACTGCAGCAAAGTCCACTCACTGAAGTACTTGACAAACAGCCGGCCTAAACCACAAAGCTACAGGCTTACATAAGTGTAATTCTATTCTACAGGGTTTATCTTCTATTTTTGTAACAAATAGAACTTTATTTGGGCTTGATCTGTACAATTTCATCAGCAAACAGGTACACAAATGCTTCAATTAATCTCCTGGGTATCACAGCGGCTTCTGTAGCAATAACATTTCAGAGCCAGAGACGGTTGTCAATGAGTGAATTACTGTAGGACTTTGTTGGTGAAATTAGATACCAGAAGTTCCTAGTGTTTACTGGAGTATCTAATGAACGGACGAACTTGAATTACCAATAAGTTAAACCGCTGGGGCCGATAGTTTACTCTGTCCTGAATAAGCTCACACACAGCTTAATTTTATAGCCCTGGACAAACCTGTCAGTGAACCAAAATACTTAAACGGTTAGTTTTTATTTTTGGGTGAACTATCTCTTTAAATGGGAACTTTTGACACATTGGAAATTTGACATTCATCTTGATCAATAAGGTAATACAGTAATTGCTAAACATTAACTGATACCCAAATGATCAAAAGTGACACTGAGAGATAGCTGTCGCAAAGGGCAGTTCAAAAACAGTTGCAACCAGCAATTTTACTGTTTAAATTGTTAGACATCTATATAGACATGCCCATCTCTCTTTCCTCTGCAGGTCTTCTAACCATTGTGAACTCCATGAAGGTGAAGTGGGGGGCCATTCTTCAGGTCATCTCTACTGTGGCTAAAGTTCTGGCTCTCATAGTCATTATCATCGCTGGAATGGTTGTGCTGGCCCAAGGTGTGATCATACTGACACCCATGTAGCTTACTATATACACTGTTCAAAAGTTTGGGGTCCGTTGTTTTTTTGTTTTTGGGGGGGGGGAAGAAATCAATCACGCATTAAATTGATCAAACTTGACAGTAAATACATTTATAAAGTTAAATAAGATTTGTGTTTCAAAAACATGCTGTCCTTTTGAGTTTTCTTTTCATCAAAGAATCGTGAAAAAATGTATCTCAGTTTATTAAGCAGCACAACTGTTTTCAACATCGATAACAATAAGAAATGTTTCTTGAGAACCAAATATTATAATGATTTCTGAAGGATCATGTGACTGAAGGCTTCTGAAAATTCAGCTTTGGCATCACAGGAAAAATTATCATCAAATTTTTAAATGCAGCCTTGGTGAGCATGAGACCACATATGTGTATTTTTGTGAGTCATTACAGTTTGTTTGGGATATTTGACTATATTTGCATTGCTCTGCCACAGGAAAAACAAATAACTTTAGGGATTCCTTTGAGAACTCTAAACTGGATCCAGGAAACATGGCTCTGGCTCTGTACGCCGCTCTGTACTCTTACTCTGGCTGGGACACCCTGAACTTCATCACAGAGGAGATTAAAAACCCAGAGAGGTATGAATATTCATGACATTTCACTTAATATAAAGATAATCTCCTACAATCATATGTTCCACTCATTGTGAGTTAGACTCAATTATAATTTCTCATATATACAGCAAAATTGGCTCAACCAATGGCATGAGTTTGGGGCAAGATTTTCTGTTTTACTGACCAAAAGACAGATGGATGTGTGTTTGGAAAACCTATTTGAATTTGTCATTATTTTTGCCATCCCTAATGGCACAGAAACTACACACTTCAGCTTGAATGAATGTCCAGCAGTTTTGTTGCAAATCAAGTAGGAAGTTCAAATATGTATGAAAACCCAGTCTCATTTTCTCTGCTACAGAAACCTGCCATTGTCAATAGCGATCTCCATGCCCATTGTCACAGTAATCTACATCCTGACTAATATCGCCTATTATGCAGTGCTGGACATGAATACATTGCTACAGAGTGAAGCTGTGGCTGTGGTGAGTAAAACTTTCTTGGAGCTGAACATGATATATATTTAAAAAAAAGCTACTTGGTCTGTTATCACATCTTAATATCTCAAGCTACTGCAGCAAAACTCGTTTTTTAACCCACATGATCCTGGATGTCACATGCAAGTTAATTGACAGCGTCTGTTTAGTTTATTTGCTCCAGATTTGATCATGTTTTCATCTCCTGTTACACTGATCTAGTTAAGGAGAGCAGCTTGAGGCAGAGTCCTCTCTCTGGAGATTCTCGATGACATTAGTCCACAGCCACAGATGCTCTGCTACATGTGAGCAGCTCACAATCCGGTGTTTTCAGAGAGGCAAAATAAAAGCATGATGGTTTAACAATTGAAAATTAAAATTAAAGGTGCAATAGGTGATTCTCTACAGAAATATTTTTTGTTATTCTGGTTGAAAGTCTCCTCATATCCTGATAGCAATCACTATGTTAAGCGGTCTAAATGTATTTTTATTAATATATATCATCTGTGGAAGGCGTAGGACCATAACATGTTTGTCCGAATGAAATTATACCATGTTCCCTGTCAGTCAACGTGTGTTTGCATACCACTGCGCAGCCTGTTCACGCAGACATCATGCGTCATTAGCGTGTTCACGTATGCTGTGCAGCGAGAACGGCAGGCAAATAACTAACATTCCTTCTGAACCGACAACAAGTGGCAAAATCGCATATGAATAAAGCTGAAATACATTGCATTCTTTCCTTTATGTCAATAGGTAAACTTCTGAACTGAAGTCATTTCACAATCACATACATATGTATGCAAGTAAGCGCTTCTGTTTCTCCCCTCACTGCAATTTAAAGTTTTCTCACCGGTGAATGACACATGGTGCAATCCAATAACGTTTGGTCTGCACGTTCATGTGTTTTGGAAGAGGTGTGGCTTTGGACACCGATTGGCAGGGAGGGTGGGATCATATGCTTTCAATGCTAGCAGGCTAAAGTTAGCATTTCCCAGATCACCTATTGCACCTTGAAGATTATAGTATTGCAGTTTCACAGTTGTACTGTAAATTAAATAAAAACAAAATTATTATAATAAAATAAAATAATATTATTATTAAATAAAAATATATTATTATACCAATATAATTATTACATTTGTATTTTTATAGTGAAATGTTACAATAGTAATTCTTATTTTATTTAATACTTGTATTTGGTAACCATAATACAAAACAATAATAATAATAATATTATTATTTTTAATATTAATTTTAGTAATTTAATCGGACGTTTTGCCAAATTGTGTTGCCCTAGGCGGGAATATCAGTGACCAGAAACCTGTTATTTTTTAGGGATGTACAATATCTGTACAAAAATCTATAGCATTTAAGTTATGGATATTGTATTTGAAATTGTTCATGCTCATTTCCTCTATTTTTACATTTAGATCACCTCTGTCATCTACCGCTCCAAGTTAATCTTTAAAAACACTAATAATTTAATGGAACTGTTAAATGTAGTAATCTTCTTTAGCAAATCTCAAAATGAATATCCATTTTTCATTCTTTACATTATAATGTTGCGATGCCTTAATTCTCTTGGATTTATATCTGCTAATTTTGTTTTATTGATAGTCTTATTTATTTAGACACTAGTATAGAATGTCAGCCATTTATTACTACTTTATTACATTTATTAAATTATTATTAATGAACACTTTTGCTTTTATATCTAATACAGACGTTTGCTGACTATGTGCTGGGATATGCTAGCTGGCTCATCCCTATATCTGTGGCCATCTCCTGTTATGGAGGCTTAAACTCCTCTATCATTGCTGCCTCCAGGTAAAAGTTTTGTTCTAATAGTCTTTTGTCGTTTGAGTCGATGCCTAGTGCCAGGAATTCAGTTTCTTTGCCAAATTCTTTTTTTCTTCTAGGTTATTCTTTGTTGGCTCACGTGAGGGTCATTTACCCAATGTCCTCTGCATGATTCATGTCAAGCGCTACACGCCAATTCCAGCCCTGCTGTTTAATGTGAGCTGTCAGGCTCAGACATGCCTGTACTATTTAAAAAATCCAGAATATCTGCATTCTACAACAAAACAGGATGCTTTTTATTTTTTTATTTAACCTGCTTTTCTCCCTCCCCCTACAGGGTGGCATGTCACTCATATTCCTCTGTGTGAAAGACGTGTTCCAGCTTATTAATTACTTCAGTTTTAATTACTGGCTGTTCATCGGCCTTTCCATAGGCAGTCAGATCTACCTGCGTATTAAAGCACCTGACCTGCCCCGACCTGTTAAGGTAAGTCAACAGCTCTGTTCCAAAACCTAGTGAGCTACCTAGCTTCCCTCTACCTATAGTCCTAACCAATCCTAACCATTATAAGTTACTGGTTCTGACCTGTCTACATCTGCAGTAACACCATGTACTCAAAAAGTGCTCCACATGTAAGGGAGAGCCTTAACTCAATTGATTTCAATAGAGTGCAATACTCAGGTTACGGAAGTGAAGTATTATTAAAGATTTATATGCCCTCATAATCTTTAATCAAAATAACTTCCCCTTCCACTTGCAACAACATCTTTTCTCTGATGTGTTTTTTGGCGTGAGGGCAGGACAACCTGTCACTCATGAGATCATGATTGAGATTGCAGCAAAAGCAAACCACAATGATCAAAGATCAATCAATATCTGATGGACAAAATCAAGTCCCTCCCTACTTTTTTTTTTTTTTTTTTTTTTTTTTTTTTTAAGAATCAGTTTCACTGGAAATATATCACAATAGGGAAAAAGAGACTATTGCAATTTTCGTTTCATGCCAACTTTAACAAACTTTAAAGACAGACCTACTCTGAGCTTCGAGTTCGTTAATCAGTGGTATATGCTTTTGTTGAAGCCATCAGCCAGCATTATTCCAACTTTAAAAAAAAAAAAATTATCAGTTGAATTCCTGTTGAAAAACTACATTATCTGATTGGTGGAGATTTCATGGAATCATGGATAATCTTAACAAACAACATGTACTGTATATGTATATTCAACATCATTGAATCAATTAAATGAAGTTCTTAATCTGTCATTTTTATTTCAGTTATTCACAATGCCTCATGAGATTGTAGATCTTAAGCTGTTTAGTGAAGTCAATGTGTAAATGTGTGTTTTTCTTCAAATCAAAGTTTGTAATGTTTTGATTCACCTTGTAGCTGGCTGATTCGGTTCATGGCTTATAATGATTTAACAAAACATCCATTTCTGCAATATCAGAACTTTAAAACAGCTTTGTTTCCTGTCAGGCCGTTAAAGCTCAACGCAGAAATACTCCCGGAAGACCTGTAGAAGTCAGCCAATCAGATTTAGGCTTTTGCCTTCGAAAGTGTTTCCAGTTTTTAGTGCCATATGCATCAGATGGCTACATCGTTCAGCTAACGGGGTGTGGGCGGTCCCTGCATCAGGAGCACATTTATGATGCCTTAAAATACTTCGATTATAGCTTGTCATATATTTAATACTTGCTACACTGTTGACATGTTTATTTCTTTATTGCCCTGGTTTATGATGTGCTTAATTGACTGTGTGTTTTTGTTTCCATGTAGCTGAGTCTGTTCTTCCCTATAGTGTACTGTCTGTGCAGCGTGTTTCTGGTGGTTGTACCGCTCTACAGTGACACCGTAAACTCTCTAGTGGGAATCACTGTTGCGCTCTCCGGAGCACCTGTGTATTACATATGTGTGCACCTCCCGCCCAGCTCCAGACCCGCCTTTCTGGGACACATGCTCGGTGAGTGAGCACACAAACACTCAAGAACCTCTCGATTCTACTCTCATTTCTATTAGTTCAGCTGGGCACCTGCACATCTCTGATTTCTGCTGCAGGCAGTAAGAAGTGTTTGTATTTTTTACCATACATGTATATGTTACAACCAGGTTCAGTTAGCCTTCTAGGGGGGTTTGTTGCATAAATGCATACATGTGGTGTTGTATAATGAATTTGGACATAAGACGTATGTGCTTTGTGTTTTGACCATAAAATGGTCCGTATGTACTGCAAATCGTTTTACTGTGAACAATGACTGTAGTGTTTTCACCCACCTGCTGGTCTTAGGCTTCCATGTGCATTACAGAGAAAAATGGCACGTCAGTCATTTTCGATTCATTTTTGGTCACACTTTACATTACAGCATTCATGAGCCTGTTGTATTGAGTAATAAACCTCAGTTAATGTGCTTAATACAGACTTATAAGAATGCCATAGAGACTTTGCTGTGGGTTCTTTGGCTTGAGCCTGTAAACAACGATCTAGCAACAACTTAGCAATCATGTAACTGTGTCTCTAAGACTTACGGTATTACAATTTCCACCGGCAAGCATTGCTCACATTTCCTTTAGACAATATAGTTAATATTTGTTTGAAATTATCTAATTTTAAGTGGTGCCCTTTTTTAAGGGCTTTCAGTAAATGGCCTCTGTAATTATTGGCTAATGTCATTGCATAGGAAACAGTATCAACGCCCACTCACTATTGCGTGTTTTGAAAACGCTATCCATATATAACCGTCATTTACAGACAAACCATTATGGAATCATTTACTTACGGGTTGGAATGTAGCTGCTGTCAGATCCAGTATAGTTCTGACTTCTTTGTCTTTCAATAAGTTTCTCTGCGAACTTGCCATTAGATTGTGCCTCATTTACAAAACAATATGCTCCGAACAATCATAGTCCTCCGACTTGATCTGGGATGCCTTTAAAAATAAACCATCAACTTGTTTCTGACGCTGGGATGAAGTCTGTACAGAAACGCAAACAAGCGGTTTAAACTGGACGCGTCAAAGCAAATGTTCTTTCACTTTTCCATTTGTCCTGTAGTCAAAAGACTCAAGAGCGTGGAGTATGTCAGAATCTGAATGCACATCTGTATACTGTATCCAGTGTAGACAGCGTCTGTGATTTATAATGGGTTCTATTTGCTTTTGACGTGACGCGACGGTCACATACAATGCAGGCAAATGTCAGACGTTAAGCAATTGAATGCCAGTGGGCGGGGCCTTTGATGCCACGATGTATAACTATTTATCGATAAGATATACTTTATTGTCCCCGAAGGGAAATTTGTTTTGGACTCTGTCCCTTCCGCAGATTTTACAAAGACAGCACAAAGCACAAAATACAAAAAACAGACGCCTCACAAACATGTTCTCATAATATGATAATATACATTAGATAGGTACGTATATAGTTGGCAGGTTTAAAAAAATTACAACCATTATTGATCACAGCTCCCATATTGCACATCCCCGGCGGTATACATTGATCTAGAGGCACATGTCTTTGCCCGTGTAGTCTCGCGTAGCCAGACCTTCAGACTGACGGCTGAAGGTCTGGAACTCATAGCAGCTTTCTTTGGCCAAGGCCCGCCCATAAGGCCGTTTGACCGACATGTCAAACAACCAATTACAGTTCGTTTCGTTCAGCGTCACGTTTCGGGGCGTGGAAATGTCCCCACAACAACAGACCGGCGTGCAACAAGTCAGTCAGCATAGAAAATCAAAGAAGGAGAAGAAAACCGAACACAATACTGAATCGGCCAGCTGCGATGTCAGCGTCTGTTGTTTCATGTTTGCCCGCAAACGCGGCTGATAGGCCTACCTTCACAGTTAGGTACTTCACTTGATCTTCCATAATAGATCCTAGCTGTCAACATTGAACAGTGAATATAAGGGAGATTTCCCGGAATCCATCCCCAAAATAAGGGATTTTTTTTTACAAGATTCTTACCCACCACAAACTTTAAAAATAAAGCACTAATCATTAAAAAACTAAAGAGTTTATAACTACAAATGAGTGAGAGAGAAAGAGACAGTGTGTGTGTGTGTGTGTATGAGAGAAAGTGTGTCATTTTTTAAAAAAAATTTTATCAGAGAATGTTTAAATACTAATATCAGCTTACGAGGGAAACGGTACGTGGTGCTTCGGGGGCTGCTGGAGATGATTAGGGAGAGGTCTGTGCTCCTTTACCGATCAAAGCGCGCGCTGACACGGAGTATAATTGTTTATACTTGACGCGTCCGCACGAGTTGGATGCGCGTTGGGTGCGCAAGACCGGCAAGACCCCATTTCGCTTGGCTGTGTGCACAGCTTTTTTTGTAACAGCGCGCGCGGCGCCGTATCCGACGATGAACGACTTCAAGCCGAATCTGCCCGAGCATGTACGTCTCACACAATCAGAGCGTAAAAATACGGGATATTTTACGGGAAAATAATAAAACGGGAAGACAGCGGGAAAAGAGCTTAAATACGTGAGAAACCCGGAAAAAACGGGAGGGTTGACAGCTATGTAATAGATAGGAGGGGACACACAACTAGTAAAGTTGGATCTGCTGGGAATGCTTATAAATGCTGACAAAGGGTCGGCCAGGCTTGGAAAATAATACTCTTCCCAAATCCCGTCGGCAAACAGGCTAAAATATCTCTTTTTGTCTCCACTAAGTGCCTCAAACAAAACTCCTGGACATCTTTCAAGAGTCTACGCCGTGAACCTCGCATACTTTTGAGAATCCTACGTTTAGCTGATCTTGATAAATGCTCATTGTCACTCATGTAAACACAACAGTTTTTCTTCCGCAATCACACGTCTGCGCTTTGTTTCCCGGGGGACCGAAAATAAACGCGACACTCGCGCCCCCCGGAAATCCGATACAATTCAACCAATCAGATGACGACTTCGACATTCCTGAAGTGTTTCCAGATAAGTGTACCATATGCATCAGACGTTTAGCCAACGTTCCGTGGGCGTGACGTCTGAGGCTGAGACTATTGCCCGTGTGACTTCACAGATCCCGCAATATCAAAAGAGCCTTTTTGTAGCTTGATTAAATAAATGCTTTGTTTATAATAAAGAGGAGGATTTTTAGAGCAGGCAAATTAATCAATACCATTTTGATCTTAGACATGCAGACCAGTTAAGAGGATTTTAAGTAAGCATAGGCTTCTCTGACTATTTCACGCACCATTAGTTTTGTACAGAGATTTATTTAATATTCTGGATGATTTTTACATAATGATCTGTGAACTTTTTCTTTTTTCAGATACACTTTCATTGCAAACACAGAAGCTGTGTTATTGCTGCGTGGCAGATCCCGGTTTGGACCTGGACAATCCGCCTGAGGATCACAAAAAAGAATAAACACCGGCTGTAAAGGAAACTAAACCAATAAAGCTGTATTACCCAGACTTCTTTGAGAATAAGCCAAAATTCAAGCCAGAATCGCATGTCTGCACCCTCCAGTCTGAGCGTGCATGGAATGGAGCAATGGATGTAGATGGAGATTAAATTGAAACATTTATCTGGGTAAACAACTGAACTGAACAGAGACAAATACACACACTGTGACTGTTTAAACGCTGTGTGCAGTACGAGTTAAGTTCAATGCAGTGGACCATTCAGTTAAAGACTGTTGTCAATGTGACCGTAATTTGGTGTTTTCTTGAAATCAGATTCACCCCCTTTTTATTCTTAAACGTTTAGATTGTTTCTCCTTTTATGAGCTTCCTCTGTTCATCACATCAGTTTTACGGATATGAAGCTCCCTAGATGATCGACTTTTGTTAGGCCTGTTAACCGAAACCGGTAGAGACATTCAAGATGCATTTGCTTGATAATGAATTTTATTTACTGAGATGAAGGATTGTTTTATTGGTACTCTAGACTTAAAAGCCATATCCTTTTTATACTTATAGCTCCGGTTGGGAAAATGACTTCTTAAGATGTTAGTTAGGTTTACCTAATTTCCCCTAATGTGCCTAATTTATATAAAGATTTCTTTCTCATATCAAGGGTGTCCTCCTCTCTCATATCAAGTGTTTTGTCATTTACTCCAGAGCAGATAAATGTAGATGTTGTTTTTAGAATATGCTTCTTCTTTTTTCTCTCCGTGATTGGCTTTTATTTTGGCGGCTTTTTTTTATTTTATTTTTTATGGATTTTATTTGCCCCCAAAAATAATGTGAAGGTACAGTCTGTTTTTGCATAAATGTTGTGGTACGCACTGTTTTATGGGAGAACTGTCATTGTGTGCAGAAATGTGTTGGGTTTACCGTACAAGGCCGTATAAAACAGCAACATTTGAGTATAGTGTTCGCCAGTTTTGGTCAATCTCAAATTCAGATGTTTTTAAATAGTTTTATTTTGTATGTTTATTGACACGCACAGACACCACTTTAAAAACTGCCGGTCAGAGGTGACGTTTTCAAGGATTTCTAAACGAGTCCATCAATTCCTCATTAGATGGACCTTTTTAGAATAATAAACCAAAGAATTATTTACAGGTTTACCAGCAGTTATGAAGCCTTCAGATGCTCTTGGTCTTAAAGCTGCTAAATAACAGTACATCTTGCCATTGCTCTTGTATATTGTAACCGTTCATCCTTCTGTCCGATATAGTGACCAAAGTCATATTTTAATCTGTCCAGAATATGTCCTGCCCTGATGTTATTCATTACATATAATTTTGACCCACAAACTCGCATTGATTTTTAAAGGGTTGTTTGTTAGTCACCAAAACATATTTAAATGTTGATTGTACTGTATGGTTATAATAGTGCCTTAAACAGTTGTGATTTATATGAACAGATGATCAATATTTTGTGAAGAACAATCAAATATTCCACATATAGCCTTTTGGGTGTCGATGTTATAAACCTATGCTGTTCTCAATGTTCTTTCATTACATTCCATTTTGTTTTTATGTTCATGTGAGACTTTGTAGTACTGTTCATTGGTTTCTTTTATTTATTGCACAGGTGTAGAATTGTAGACACTAAATGACAATAAACAACACAAAAAGAAACCTTTGGTCGGTCTCCTTGTTTTTTTATTTATAGGACAAGCATCTCTCTTACTGCTCATAATTAGGGTTACGTGTTTTTGGCATATAACTTCTCCAGTAAATTCGTGATAAACATGGGTGACACCTCAAACCATGTGACTTGTTCAACAGAAGTGAGGTTACTTTTCTAAGCGGTTAGACGTAAGTTATAATTTACATTGTAAATGTAAAAGAGACTGAGCCATATTTATGGACTGTCTAGATAGAATATCATAAAATCAACACCCTAGCAACTGCATAGCAAGCAACACACTTAAAAACCTCCAGAACACATTAGAAACTGCGTAGCAATAGACAACCACCTACATCAGCCTATGGTGGTGATGCATTGAAGAAAACCACCAGAGGGCGTCATAGGACTACAACTACTTTATTCCTTCAGTATCATGTGATTATCAGAAGAAATAAACTTGAATTAGAGTGGATTTGGAGTGATGTATTGATGTTTCTGTTTACCATGTTTCACTTACTGCATTCATTGATTTATAGTTATTTAAAAATGGAGTGCCTTTAATTAGTTGCCTATTTGAAGCGATCTATTTTACTGAAGTATGATCTCAGGTTCGTTGTCAGTGTTATTTTAGTAGCCTATTATTCATATGCTTCTATAGTAGGCTATTTATTATTATTATGATTTTGCCTTTTTTATTTTATATTTTCAGTTTTCATTTTAGTTTAATTAAGTTTTAGTAATATTGTAGTAGTATGTTGTAATTTTAGTTATTATTTCTTGTTATATATTTATGTATAGTGTAATATATTTTTATTTCAATTTAATCATTTGAGAACTTATTTAACATATTTATTTCAGTTATTTGCCCATAGCAGCATTTATAATTTTTCATTTACTTTTGTCGAGTTGAAGTTATATTTATATTTATTTCCATTATTTTTAAATAGTTTTAGTTTTCAGTTAACAATAACAACACTGGTGAAACGCATAAGATCACACAATGAAAAACATTAGTGAAATACACCTTTCAGTCAAAGATAGTGCATGTTCACTGTCTGGTATCCAATCCCGTCTTTTGTCCAGGAGATGACTAGAGTCATGTTTCAGCTCTGTGTGTGTGTGCAAATGTGTGTATGTGTGCCCAGATGTCAGCCATGGATACTAGGTGGTGCTCCCTGGATGAAGACAAGCTGAGTGGCGTCTGTGTGTCAGAACGGCAGAGGGAGTTGGGTTCCCCTGACTCATGCATAAACTATAGATCTCAGGCAACGCAAACAGACTTGTTGAGACGACAGATACGCAACCAGACAGAGAGGAAATAGTCTACTTTGGGAACTGGACGGAGACCCTTAAAGGGTCCAATGTTTGCTTTGGATATGATCTCATGGTTGGGGGACAAAAGGAGAAGTTTGGACTGACGCTGTTCAATGACGTCCTGTGGGCACAGTCTGGCGCACAGCCATGGAACTGTCACGAAAGCTGCACTGGATTCGCAACCGGCCCTGGAGGCCCCGGGCCCATCACAGGAAGTTCAACAGTGAGTGTGATATGTTCATGTGTGTGTGTGAAAGAACATGCTGGAAGGGTTGATGAATACATCTTACCCCAGTGTAAATGGTCTATACACTCTTAAAAATAAAGGTTCTTTATTGGCATATGGTCCCATGAAGAACCTTTAACATTCATGGAATATTTCCATTGGACTTTATAATGGAAATAGGTTCTTCAGACTCTTAAAATGTTCTTCACACCAAGAAAAAAATGACCCTTTTAGGAACTGGTCACTGAAAGGCTTTTTGGGGAACCAAAAATGGTTCTTCTATCTATGGCATCGCTGGCAAGCCTTTTGGAACCTTTATTTTTAAAAGTGTAAATGACTGCTGAAACTGAATTGCTTTATTATACAATGTACTGATGGTATCCCCATATCATAATGACATATTCAAATCACATTTATATTTTGTATGGGGCCTGTCTGCTTACATTTATGTGTGAAGAAAAGGAGGGAGAGCATGAAGTGAGTGTGAAGGTGAAGTGTCCACAATGGCTCCTCTTCTACTCACTTTCTGCATGAAGATAAACACCATGGGTGCCCGGGATCGAGTGTTGGTCACGTTCTGGCTTGCGCTGGGCTCTGATTGGCTAAAGGCCAGCACTGCACTGCTGATTGGTGATTTGTTCTTCAGAATAATGGCTGACTTGTTCAGCCAGCGGTTCACTTAGATGTGAAATAACATGGAAATAACAAGGAGTTTAAAAGTGTCTTAGTTTCAGTTCTAATCCATAGTGTTGAGTTACAAAACTGTTCAATGGCCACTCTATCAAAAGCTTACAGATCTTTTGAAGGGGATCATAGCTTTGGCAAAAAGCATATTTAACTTAAACTTCTTAACTTCAAAATGGATTAATATAATACAATATAATATAATATAATATAATATAATATAATATAATATAATATAATATAATATAATATTTATCCTTCAGAGTTTGGAGAATGAATTTCGATGCCTTGGGGATATTTTGTATTTCTATATTATGGATATTTTTTGGTTGCAAGCATGGACTGTTAAATTTAGTCTGAGGTTCTCTGTTTTCTAGCCCTAGTTAATTGAGAGTTAGGTCCCACTTTATATTAGGTGTCTTTAACTACTATGTACAAACATTTAAATGAATCATTCGATACAATGTACTTATTTTGTACATACTTTTTTTTTTTACATTGTACTTATATTTAAAAAAAATTGCCTGCATGTAATTACATCTGTAATTAATTTCAGTAATTATATAACTCTTAATCCACCCTTAAACCTGCCCATACCACCAAACCTGTCCCTAACCTTACAGGTATCCAACCTCTATAGCAACAAAGGTGTTTTGCAATACAACATGAACACAATAACTAGGCTACATTGTACTTATTTTTTTTATAGTATTTAAAGACACCTAATATAATGTGTGACTGAGAGTTATTTGCTGTATGTGTGTTGTGGTGTTTAGCAATCATTTCTGTGTCTGAGAGAGAGAGCCAGAGACATGTGATAGCTAAAGATAGATGAGCACTAGGCCGCAAATGTGTGCATTACACTGAGTGGACTACAGAAGATTTGGAAAGAGCAGTAAAGTGATGCGGTTTACTCTGCCCTTAGTCTCTGTAAAAGTGCTTATATACACAGCCAAGTACAGAATATGGCCAATTTAGATATAGCTTAATGTGTTTTTTAAGCTTAAGCTATGATAATTATAGCATAGTGTGTGTCCTGACCTGTGTTACTGTGATTTACCTGCAGGGGGCGCTCTCCCCTTCCTCTCTGGTTTGCCGTAGATTACCTCAGACAAGCATAATCCTGTAAAATGAATCAGATGTTTATTAAATAGGACATGATGCTGATTCTCTTGTACTTTTGTATGGATCTCACCACCCCCATGTGAAAATGAGTACAGCGCTAACTATGTTTTGCATTACAGCCAAGGAAAGGAGAGAGAGAGAAACAGAGAGAAATCCTGTTTCACGTGTGACAGAAAAGATTTAGTTCAGGCTCATCATCCGAATGCCATGTGACAACAGAGGGAACCAGTGGCCTCAGAATCCC